GATCTGTATTATTAAATATTAAAGGTTCTGAAGTCTGAATCCTGTTCTGTGTCACTGTGAATCAGTTAATATACTAACTGACGTATTCTGATGTTAAACAATAAATGATGTAGCAGTACAAAGCTAACGATAGCTTTCTATTAGCCAAGAGCCTTGCTTGCCAAAGTAGACAAATTAGTAGCTAGCTAACGTGGCAAAGTACTGCCAGCTAGCTCCACTTCACAGGCAACAGAGGAAGTCGGAGAAGTTTGTTACGATACAACCCGTTCACTCATTGCCAATAAAAATAAAATAATAATGCTCAGAATCTTACATATGGAACCTTTAATCTTTAACAGTAATTAATTTTGTCCTGAAGCCGACCTGTTTGTGAAAATATCCCTGCACTCAATCTGGTTTGCAGATGTCGGATTGAATCTGCCGTCACTGTAATAATCAATAAATCCATAGAGAAACTGCTGTGTCAGCCTCCCACATACCAACATCTGTCCTGCTCTTCGTCCTCGTCTTCGTCCTGGAGTCCAGACTCAGACAGACCGTCACAGACATGCAGGTGACTTCCTTCCCTCCTCGCCGACAGTCTTTGTTAAAGATGTTGACCTTCTCAGGTTCAAAGGTCAGCTTGGCCTGAATCCGCACCACACCACGAGACCTGGAGTGAAGGAGCACACCATCATCAGGACTGAATCTGTTCACGGGTTACTTCAGTACATCTTAGGGTTAAAGCTAAAGTGGGTTGAGTGTGAGTCTGTACACTGATGGATCATTCACAGGAGTTTGTGTGTGTGTGTGTGTGATGGTCTGACCAGATGATGACAGCAGCTCCCAGCGCTCCCACTGCTAGGTCTACGAGCCCGTCTCCATTGACGTCCAAAACGCCGTGAATACTTTGGCCGAAATACTGGAGACCGGCAGAAAACCCGGCTGCAGACAGACGCTGGAGAGGAAAGGGAGAGAATTATTTGTGTTAAATCTTCCTGTTTCTGTTACCTGTGTGAACTGGTTCTGTTACCTGTCTGAACTGGTGCTGGATGGTTTTGTCTTGGCCATAAAAGACATAGACTGCCCCCTGGTGGTCGTCCTCCAGCGGCGCTCCCACCACCAGCTCCCTGAACCCATCCCCGTTCATGTCGGGTATCTGAGCCAGCGCCGAACCCAGCCGGGAGTTCTGGGAGTGGTCAGTAACCTCCAGCGCCCCCTGCAGGACGAATGACGTCTGGAGGGAGGAGGTTCGGTTTAGCTTTGTGATTGCTGACTTGTTTTGTTGTAAGACTGAACAGGTGTGTTCGTACCTGTGGGGTAACAGAGTAGAGGTAAACCTTCCCTCTCTCCCAACCCTGGCTGTAGAACATGGGCGCCGCCACCAGGAGGACGTCCGTTTGTCCATCGCCGTCTACGTCCATTGATAACAACTCACTGCCGAAATACGAACCAATCTGGAAAAGACCAAAACAAAACATGAGAAACTCGTTTGTATCAGGTTCACTGTTTTATATTAGAGTTAAAGTTGAAGTTTGTCCTGTTTTGTTGAAAATGTTGTCGCTAACACGCTAAAAACAAGGCGTGACTTCCTGTTTTAAGCAATGACTCGAACTGCACAGAAACTAAAACCAGGTTCTGAAGTGGACTCATACTGAGTCAACATACCGTTTCTTCATATTGACACTTCCTGGTGAGCCTAGTTACGCAACCCTAAACGCCTGCGTAACTACTAGCTTAAGGCACCTTTTTTTTGTCCAATTAAGGCACTAAACTAAAGCAGCCACCGTCTCGTTTGCCAACAACAACCTCAACAACAACCTTAATGTTACGTAGACCAAACACGTTGCTCAGTTCTCAGCGTATAAAGCTGTTAGCTTTTGCATTTTGTGCAGTGGACCTGCGACAAAGAACACTCAAAGTGAACAACCATCAAAGTGAACAACCATCAAAGTGAACAACCATCCAGGTGGACACGAGACTGGTTCCAGTAGCAGCTTTCACACTTCAGGGATCAGCCCTCAGGTCAGTGGTTGTGTGATTACATATAAAGGTGTACAGGTGTGTGTGTGTGAGACCTGCTCTCCCAGCAGTGCCTGCAGGATGGTCAGGTTTCCGGTGTTCTTCAGGGTGAAGACAATGACCTTGCCCGTGTGGTTGAACCTCGGAGCTCCAGCCACGTAGAGCTGAAAGCCGCGAGACGAAATGAGCGAACCCACCGAGTAACCTGAAAACCAGAAGAGAAACAGAAATGGACCTACTGTCTTACCAACATATATTAGCCTAGCATGTAGCATATCTAAGTACAGGAAAAGAGAAAGTTGGTCAAACTACAGTACAGGTTGTATTACCCAGATAGGCTCCGTGGTTCTTCAGCTCCTCTGGAAACTCGTCCTTATAGGAGGATTTTGGTGGGACGACTTTTCCATGTTTAGTCTCCTTCAGCACGGCACCGTTCCAGTCGTAGGCGCCGACCGCCCCGAGCAGAATGCCGTCCTGAAGACAAAAGAGAACAATTAATATAATGTTACATATAACGATGTGAAAGGTTCCATATGGAAGATTCAGCCACAACACAAGTTGTCCAAAGTCAAAGCTAACATTGCTGCAGAGCTTGTGGAACATATTGTCTGATTGGGCTTTTAGCTTGTTTGCTAACGTGGATGAATTTCTGGTTAGCAAAATACAGTCAGCTGATTGGGCTGACTAACTGCTAACTAGCAAAATACTATCTAAGTGGATATGTTAGTTGGCTAAAGTTAGCTTCCCCAGCTAACTTGATTCATGATACTAATTCTGATATTAGCCAACAGTAAATGATGTAGCGGTACAAAGCTAAGTGTTTGTCACTGGCCGACGACCAGGATGATGCTCGCTCGCGCCTACGTACTCTGTACGGAGCGCAAGCAACAGGACGCTGACTGACTGTAGCTCACTGAACGTCCACTGGTGGCGCTGTTAGCTACAGTTTAATGACAGTTACACACAGAAGCTTTAAATATCTGCTCAGTGAGCAACTTTTATTCGGATTAATTGAGCTCCATCTTGGAACACTCACAGAATAAACAGCAGCTTCAGTTTCTGCCTTAAACTCAGTTGAACTGTTTCACAACACGTGTGTTTCATCAGTCAGATGAACCCTGGCGATCGTAAAGTCCAGATATGAAAGTTATTAAAGCGTTGAGTCACAGTCTCTGCAGGCCAGTGATTCGAGGACCACAGTGGATGATCCAATCCTTGGCGACGCCGGTGCCACAAAGCATCTCCGCCTGCAGGACCTGACTCTGGATCTGCAGTTAAACGCTGCCTTTGTAACCCTGCAGGAGGACGAGGGGGGCGGTGCTCCTGCAGGATGATACTGCGACGGCTGTTTTCCACATCAGGCTGACTTCTACCTGATTTCACCTTTTTTACCTTTTAATCCCGAAACCAAAGAGCAGGAAACACTCCACATATTTGTCTGTGTGTGTGATGGTTCATGGATGTATGAATGTGTGTGTGTTCCTTTGGCAACTTTACATTCAGGAAAACCATCTGCTCTGTGTTACACATAGAAAGTTTCCACGACACCATTTTCACTCCCTGACGTTGGAATTCAGTCGAGTGCGATTTTCCCCTGGACGAGAAACAACAGAAATATTTCTAGAAGCTTCTTATTCAGACTTCAGACGGCTGCCAGGACCAGACCGATACTGGATGTTTAACACTGATAGTTGAGTTTGATCTTTGTGTTTCTGTTGGACTCCTGACAGAACTAGAAACTTAAAGTCTTCTACAAATAAAAGTAATATTTAATTAAATATTAATAATTTACATAATTGAATACTTGGATTAGGATACTGACTACATTTTATAACAGGTAATTAGTAATTGTATCCGATTATCTTGATAGAGTAACTCTTCCAGCCCTGACGACTCCATGCACAATATTTTATAACAAAGCTGAATGAAAACACTATTTTTAGTTAGTAACTAACTAAAACACACAACCTGAAACCTGAAAATTAAATCTTTAGTTTTCTTTAATAAAGGATGTGAGTACTTCTTCCACCACTGCCACACCAGCTGTTGAGATACACAGACTGCTTCACTGACATCAACACACAGAATCTCAGGTGTAAAATAACAATCCTGAACTATTAACAGACTGTATAATAAAGTAAATATGAATCAGAGTTACTCACTTTGACTAAATGTGAGGAGAAACCAGCCTGAGCCATCTGCAGACCAAAGCCTCGACCCTGACTGCTGGTCCCTGCAAAACACACATCATCATTGACGACAGGGAATAAAGTAGTGAAGTGGTTTTATTGCCGGTTTGGCTCCTGCCATCTTGCAGCTAAGATTACTAACATTACTGTTAGCTGTTGTCAAACTGTCCTCTGTCTGTCTCTGAGGTTGTGTTCACTGGGAGGCTCCTGAGCCCCGTTCGGTTGTACGCTAACGGCAGCTACATTAGCAGTTAGCAGAGTTGAGCATCACATTTTAATTTTGATATCAAAATACAAAGAAATTGAGTTCTTCTTCTTTTTCAGTTCATCATTAATGTGCTGACTGACCTTCCAGAGAGAATATTCTCTCTCCCAGCGCGTCCACGATGTCCTTCAGCGCCGACTCGTCCGTCACGTTGAAGAAGTGCTTCTCATCCGGGTCGCTGGCGATGAACTTGATCTCCTTCAGAAAGGCTTCGGGGTTGATTCCCCGGCGGTTGTAATAACCCAGAACCTGGAAGAGACAAGATGGAGCTCAGAGAAAGGCGGGAAGAAAAGGAAGGAGGAAGTCTGAGGACCAGACAGGAAGTGGGGGGTATTTGAAGGGGACGGACTCACAGCGATGGCGTACATGGTGATGTTGTCTCTCTCGCTGTCGGTGACGGCCTGCAGCAGCTGCGGACTGTCGTGAGATTCTCCGTCTGTGATCACGATCATCACCTTCTGGGCACCAGGCCGTCCGCCACGCTTGAACGCCTCCGACCTGCACAGCGAGGAGGAACAGTTACAGTCGGGAACTCTGTGGGGTTCATTACTCAGGAGGGTCACGTTTTGAGTCGTACCGCCCCACGTTGATGCCGAGCGCCGTCCTCGTCTCCTCGCCGCCCCGCTGGTCGATGCTCCTGGCGGCCTCCACCACCTCCTCCACCGTCTCGTACTCGCCCAGACTGAACTCGTGGACCACCGTGGAGCCGTACTGAACCACACCCACCTGCAACCGAAACACACCACAGCTCAAAAACCTCAAATCCTGCACCTGAAGGCATCACAGCACCATGGTCACAATTAGAGCGATTAGTCGATCGATGAATCGATGAATCGATAGCTGTCAACTGTTAAATTAATCGCCAACAACTGTGTTTATCTATTCATCAAGTCATTTTTTAAGAAAAAATTATAATTATGAGCCTGTCAACGTTACCTGGGAAGAATTATGTAATCTGGAAGTAACTGATGTGGTTGAAAGATAAACGCAACATATAATCACATCTTAAGTTAGCTAATCTACATCAATCGTTAGCTAGATAACTTAAGACGTGAGGGTCAATCATAGGAGAAATAGACAAAAGTTAGTTTAGTTAATTGTAAAAGTGGAATTTCCTTTTAAAAAGTGAATTTTTATTGATCATTAATTTATCGACTTTCCACGACTTTTCGATTTCACATTTTTAAATGTTAAAATTTGTGTTCTAGTTTGTCCTCAGACTGATATCGAGAGGAGGTTTGTTTAGTGACGTCTCTATAACTATAATAACGAGTGGAGTTTGTGTTCTGTTTACAACTAAAAAGAAACTAAACGTGTGTGTTAACTTGTGAGGTCTGGATTTAACAAGGTCACAAGGTCAGCGGCTGTAAATTAAAGGGACAGGAAACTACAACAGACGTGACCTTTGACCTCATTGGTGGTTCCAACCCTGGTTTCATGTAAACTGATGACGACCTCTGACACAGCCGTCAAAGGAGACACTATTCACCCCGGGTGATGGTGATGGTTCAGAACTCTGGGGAACCCACCTGCGTCTGACCTGGGCCGATGTAGAACTTGTGCAGGATGTTGATGAGGAAGTCCTGGACCTCGTACCACGGGTAGATCGAGTTAGAACCATCCAGAACGATCACGATGTCCATGAACGTCTCACATCCTAAAACAAGATACAGGATGGATGATTAATGAATGATTAATGGATGATTTATGGATTAATAGATTAATGTATTAATGTATTAATGTATTAATGGATGGATGGATGGATGTTGATTACTCTGCAGGGCGGGTGCGATGGTGTGGGACAGTCTGAAATTTCTGCTGACTCTGGAACAGATTCCTGTGCTGTACAGGGAACTTCCACATTCATGAGACCAGAGCGGCCCACAGGTCTGAGGACACACAGACACACAACAGGATGAGCAATGGTAGCTAACTGAAGGTGTGACTGGATATCTCTCTTATCTTTGAAACATCTTCAAAATGTGTCTTTCCAACATAGATTAGCTTAGCATATAGCATATCTAAGTACAGGAACGGAGGAAGATGACCGAGGCTCAACTGTGATTGAGCACAGAGCATAAAGGGCGAGTATCCTTTAAACTAAGCCTTCAGTTGAAAGTGAAAGGTTGTTGCAGCCGACATGGAGGCCGTTTCTCTGCGTGTTTAGTGTCACTCACCACGAAGCTGCTGTCCTTCGGGTTGGAGGTCAGAGTCATTCCCAGCCTCATCTTGTCTTTCCTCTCAGACACGTTGTCCAGAGAAAGTTTCCCTGATTGAAAACAGTCAGTAAACGTCACACAGTGAAGTTGGATGTCCAGACATTATTGGTTGGTTCTTGCTCACACAGCAGCATTCAGTGTTAAACAAGAGGTAGAATATGACTGAGGATGTGATATTAATTAATAATATATTCATTTTGCTTTATTGTCTGTATCTGTGTGTGCAGCCTCGGTACAGACGCCCGCTGTGACTCACCTAGGTGGAGTCGGGTGCAGTTTGCAGAGTTTCTGGCATCCAGCGGACATCTGAACACATCACCAGTCTGCTGCTTCCCTGTGGACTCGAACGGAGCTCCAACCAGCAACCTGGAAGCACACACACACACACAGGGATGGGTTTAAAGCCCTCAGATTAAACATCCAGAGGGTGAAAATGACACGTGAAGAACACACAGCACACAAAGAATAAAACATTTTGAATAAAATAAATGATCGATATATGATTGTGCAAGAACTAATTAAAGATATTTACACTATTATTTGGTTTTTCTTATTTTAATCTGAATTTATATAACATTTATATATAATATTTTTATTTTCTTCAAATAAGCAGTACTTTTATGTTTTACATGTAAATTCATATGTTTGTAGTTTTATCAATATTTCCATATATTTAAATAATACAGACATAAACCCTGTAAACTTACAGATTTGTTTTTACAGTGTTTCTGCTTTAATTTCATATTCTGGAAATAAAACCCTTTAATGTGCAGTTGGTGATGATTAACTTTCCCCTCCTACACGCAGAGGTCAGTTCAATTTCAGCGGCGGTCATGTAAAACGCAGATCCTGCTGCTGCAGCGGACAGGTTGTTAACCGGAGTAAACGCCACCACATGCGGTCTGGACGGCGGTTCTGGGAAGAGGAAGGCTGAGTCACATTCCAGAGGGGATGCCATAGTAGAGCGCTAACCTCCAATCTGCTAATGCGTCTGCCGTCCACATCAAACAGGGGCAGCGCTGAGAAACCACATCCCACACAGTCCACATCCTGCAGCCTGCAGCCAGAAACCACCTCTGATCCTCTGACCTCACTCCATCAAGTCCTCAGCAGGTGCTATAAAACCTGCAGACTACCTGCATCTCCTGCTTCCACTTTATTCTCTTATTTGTTATTTAATTACTGATTTCCTGCATTTCCAGTTTGTTTTAATCTCCTTTGTCTTTATACGTCTACTGTTTCTGTCCAACACTGACAGGAAGTCCTGTTTTAGGTATTCTCAGGTATTTTAATGGTATTTTAGAGTTTCCTGAAAAACAATAAAAACTAGCTTTCTCTCTTCTAACTAGTTAAATACCATTTTCCTAAGAATAGTAGAGAAGAATAGAATCAGATGTAACGTTAACGAGCTAACTAACAATTAATGTAAATTAGCTAACGAGTCAGCTTGTATTTTGCTCTGTAACTAGCTAACAAATCTACGTCATCAGCTAGCTAGTTACATCTAAAAGCTTATGTTAGCTAACTAACAACTGTAAATTAACTAACTAGTTAGCTAGTGTTCTCTCTGTGATTTACAGAGTTTGACAGAAAGCTTTAACCACTTGCTAAAGTAACTAACTGCTAATGAACCGCTGCTAACTGTATCTGCGTTAGCGGGCAACAGAACCAGACTCAATGAACCAAGAACTGCAAGATAAATTCCAGGTGAGCAGCGTTGGTTTAACTCTTAGAGGAGAAACCTTCAGCAGACCGAACTCACAGCACGAAGCCAGCTACACAAACACCGCCGGAGGTTTGACCTCGGAGGGCAGCACAGGTCAACGGGTTTGACCTCCGACATCAACAACATCCTCAAACACACACAGCTCAACGTGGAGGTCTACTTCAGTTTTATTAAAGTTTTCCAAAGGTTTATTTATTCTTCTTAATGCTTCTCGGCCGGCGTTGATGGACTGTAACGGCAGACGGTGCCTGGTAAAGCTGACATTCGGTTCGACTCTGATGCTGCGTTCCCACCAAAGAGGTTACATACAAAGTCAATGCAAAGACACGAAAAGAATAAACTTTTTTTTTTTAGTTTGAGTTGAACATATTGAACTCGTGCATATTTCGGGGGTGTTTGCTGTGTGGAGGAGGAGGGGGAGACGGAGCTGCTGCTGTCCACAGAAAGCTGCTGGAGCCTGGGGAGCTCTGCAGGAGAGAGCCGGAGCTTCTGGAGCAACAAACACAGTCTATAACTTTAACTTTAAGGATTAAAAAGTGGATTTATCTTCACGCTCTGCTCAACCTGTCTGCTGGGAGCTACAGAGGTTCACCAGACAGAAAAGGAGAGTGTTGGAAATGAAGGAAGAGAGGAAATTGGAAAATATGTGTCTGTTACTGATTCCAGCAATCGGTTTTACTAACAGAGCTCTGATCAACCAAACTCCATTTAGAAAACAAGCATTTTAAAAGTTGTTTGCTTGTCGTCTTGCAAACCGACAGAGTCTGAATCATGATGTTGTTATTTCAGCCTCATTTTGATCCGTTTATTGACGTTAAACCACAGAAA